TGCAACACGCAACTGAATTCCTATAACCACGAAAGACATAGAACTCAAGTCGTGCCCTAATCCGCCAGAACACTTCCGGGACCCATTTACACATAATCAAAACCATCAGAATCAAATACATCCAATTGAATCAAATTACGGAGGATGTGAAGCCCACACGTNACCAGAACACTTCCGGGGCCCATTTACACATAGCCAAAACCATCAGAATCAAATACATCCAATTGAATCAAATTACGGAGGATGTGAAGCCCACACGTACATTCATGAAACACTTGTATTGACTTACCACACTGAAGGAACCGATCATTCCCTTTACCATGCCAATCCAATCCACTACTAGGCTGACTCACCTTCTCCCAATTTCTTCTTGATTAGTCTTCAGAATCAATACCCATATTCAATCACATAACAAATCCCAATCAAAACTCATCCGTAGTGACACAAATCGCGAGACCCCATTTCATACCCTCCTCATGCAGTCTATAGTAACTCCAACTGATACACCTGCGCTGATTATATCTTCTGCGAATTCGAAGTTGTTTCCTCTATCTCTCGAACATCGCATCGCAAACCTAATGACATTCATAGAATTAATCCAAGTCTCTTTCACACTTCACTGCAAAACTAATTCCTTAGCCACACGACGAACTCAAAAATCCTTAAGCACCACACTTTACTTCTTGAACCCACTAGAACCATTGTTAAGAGTCACCCACTCTGACTTAGTCCCGAGTACATAATCAAACACTGGTGCTCCGTTAGCACATGAACACTTCCAAAGAAGCAACTGGATGAATTCTTTTCCTTGTACATCATATCCACCAGAAGCATAAACTCCGAGTCATCCTAACACCTGCACATGAATTGATAAGGCGAGATGTAACACACATTCCTCAAGTCCTTGGTTCAAATTACCCCTTATGTTTCCTTTTCTTAGTCATAATTAATCTACCAATGCACCGACAATCAGAAATTGTACAAGCACACAACCACATGACCCAATCATAGATGGTGGCTCCTCCACTTAGCTTTACACTACAATCAAATAGATCCAGACCCCATAACGACTTCTTCTTCCCAGTTACCATGATTTCACGCCGTTACTCGGCTAAATTCTCGCGAGATCTTATTGAACCAATTATAACACATCCCGAATTATCAGCCAGCATCGCACGCTCAACCTCCTAACAGTCATATCATCTTCTTTAAGTGACTCAAGCTGGCATCGCAATACATGCATCCTATAGAATAGAAGGTAGGACTCTTTATAGGAACTTCAGCAGGAGTCATGCAATCTCTAACCTTCTCACAGGAGATAGTCCCCCTGTGTAAACTCATATCAACCTCCTCCAACATTATTGCTATAGTTGCATCCATCATGAAATAAATTAATCTCCCTTGGCCCACACTGATCCGCCGGCCGTAAGAACCCTTTCATTCATTAACATCACCCGAAAGTCCAACAATATGGTTGAAAGTCGAAAATATATTGTATCCAAAACAATAATTGAATACTCACAAGGAGATAAAACAAAGAGATTTTGTCCGAAATCATCCCGAAACACACTCAAGGCTCTCGGGACCCCGTGCAAGTCACAAATCATGATACAAACCTATTCCAAGGCCCGAAACCCCAAACAGACATTGATGACACCAAAGTCCACTTCAAAACAAACTTAAAAAATTTTAAAACCTTAAAAATGCCAACTTTCCATAATTAGCACCGAACTGCTTCCAGACCATCCGATACTCAACCCAAATATGAGCCCATGTCCGAAATCATCATATGAACCTATTGGAACCTTCAAATTCCGATTCCGAGGTTGTTTACTTAAAAGTCAAACCTTGGTCAACTCTTCCAACTTAAAGCTTCCGAATTGAGAAATTTCCTTCTGAATCAACTTCGAACTTCCCAAAATTTAATTCTGACTACGAGTACAAGTCATAAAATATGAAGTGAAGATATTCAAGGCCTTAAACTGCCGAACAATGCGCTAGAGCTCAAAATGACCGATCGGATCATTACACATATAATTGTTACTTGAAGCTGTAAGCACATGCAACTTTTCTGATTTTCCATTCCTTAAGTTGTTTGTTGGGAAATGAAAATTTACTTTTGATCTTAAATGGTGGAGCAACCCTACCATTTTACTCCAACGTAAATAATACTGTATCCTTAATTCAGAGGGAATTAATCTCACCTATTGAGATTAGGGATGGCATTTTGAGCCCAAGCCCAACTAACTCGCACAACTAACCCAGCAAATAATGGGTTGGGCATGAAAGAATTTAATTGATGGGTCGTTTTGGGATGAGCCCATTTCAACCCGTAAATATAATTAGCCCAACAGTAACCCGTTTAGGTGCCCAAACTGACCCGTCAAACTCCCAAAACCTAAACACAAGACAGATGCTGCGTAAAAAGAAAGTTTATATGTACAATTCAACAATNCTCTAACTCTCTTTGCACTAAAAAATGACCCTTTCTCTCTAAACTTCAAAAACGATCTCCGGTGCACTGCCTTTTCTTCGGCAACTTCCTTCTCTCCGGCGAACGCTTTGCTGGAGATTTCTCCGGATCTCAAATTTTGGCCATCAGATAAGGTGAGTGATTTGCAAAGAAATGACTTAACAGTCAATACCTCTCAAACAACCTTTGCTTTAGCCTTTGTTTCTTATTTGTGTGTTTGTGCGTTTGTGAATTTGTGGGTTATATTGGCTTTGACTCTCTAGTTATATTGGCTTTGTTGACATTGTCGGTTAAATAACAAGACAGGAGTGAAATTTCATTGGCTTTGACTCTCTAGTTATATTGGCTTTGACTCTCTACCGTAATGACACTCATATTTACTTCAAATCTTTTATTGCAAATTTCATTGCAAAGTGGTGCTCAGCTAGTCTTCTTCTATGTTTCTGAATACAGGATTGTAAACAAGATTGTACAAATTCACAATCATAATATTTTTGGTTCACAGATTTAATCTTGGCTCTGACCTGCTCTTATTCTACATCTTGCAAACTCTTGTTTTCCCTCTGTTTCATATTAACGGACTTATTGTTCTCCAATACAACAATAATAACTACTTTTATGGTATTTAATATGCTGTAGGATCTTATTGTGTAAGAAAATATTAATGGAGCATGATGATGTAGAGTCCAATGAAATAAGTGTTTCAAGTTCAAAAAGACGACGTAATACTACTTCTATTGTGTGGGATTTCTATAAGAAGTTGCCATTGGATACAAATACTGATAATAGACTTAAAGCTAAATGTAAAAAATGCGGGATAATATTTTTGGCTGACTCAAAAGCTGGAACAACAAATTTAAAGCGACATCTAGCTAAGCACAAGATTGAAGCATCAAAGTAAGGTACGACAATTGATCATAAAGAATATCGTGAAGTTGTAGCCAAGGCTATTGTTAGACATAACTTGCCATTTAGTTATGTGGAATATGAAGTGGTTAGAGAAGTGCATGCATTCTTGAATCCTGCGGTTAAAACCATTTCAAGAAATACCGCAAAAGTTGATGTGCTTAAATTATATCATGATAAAAAAGAGATGGTAAAAAATGAGCTTGAAGCTATTCCGAATAGAATCTGTTTGACATCTGATTTATGGTCCTCAATTACATCAAATTGATATATTTGTGTTGTTGCACACTATGTTGATTTGAATTGGGTTTTACAAAAGATAGTTTTAATCTTTCGTCATGTGCCTCCTCCTCATAGTAGTGCTATTTGGGTCCAAAGTTGATTAATCTGTTGAAAGAATGGGGAATTGAGAAGAAAATATTTTCTATAACTTTAGATAATGCAAGTTATAATGATGGTGTTGTGGGTTGCTTGATTGAGCAAATTATGTTTTGAATTTGATTGTTAAATCAGGTTTGAAAACAATAGAGGGTTCTATTTTTAACATTAGAGAAAGTATAAAATATATTAAAGGTTTTGAGTCAAGGATTGTAAAATTTGTTGAGTGTATAAAGAATCTTGGTTTAAAGTTGACGAAAAAAGTGCGCCAAGATGTGTCTACAAGGTGGAACTATACATATTTGATACTTGATAGCGCTTTTCCTTATCGTCGAGCATTTTCTGACTTTAAGATACTTGACAAAGATTTTACATGTTGCCCTTCAAATGAGGATTGGGTTAAAGCTGAAACAATTGCTAAGTTTTTAAGGCCTTTTTATGAAATCAGTACACTATTTTCTGGGAGCCATTATCCTACCGCCAATTTATATTTTCATAAAGTTTGGAAGATTCATATGTTGATAAAGGAATAGATAGGTAGTGAGGATACCAATATTAAGGCGATTGCTATGGAAATGGAGAAGAAATTTACAAAATATTGGCAAGACGACTACGGTCCAATTGCTTCTATGGAGGGCGCCCTATACTCGATATAAGTTAAAATTGATAAAGTTTTGCTTCTCAAAACTTTATCCTTTGACTTGCAATGAAAAAGTTAAGACTGTTGAGGATAATTTGCATAGGTTGTTTAAAGAATACATGACAATATCCGATGTTGGAATTGTTGGAAGTAGTAGTCATGGATGTTATGATGAAATAATGGACGAAATGGATGAATTTGACATGTTTGAAAGTCCGTCTGAGTTTTGTTTAGAAAAGACACAGTTGGATTTATACTTGGAAGAGCCTTTATTAGTTCGCAAAGGAAATGAAAATTTAGACGTGCTTATATTTTGGAAAGATAATAGGAGTAAGTATCCTGAACTCTCATTGATGGCTCGTGACCTGTTAAGTATACCTATCAGCACAGTTGTATCTGAGTCAGCATTTAGTGTTGTCGGTCGAGTTATTAGCAAATTCCAGATTTCTATTCTACCGGAGAATGCAAAAGCTAAATTGTGTTCTAGAGATTGGATTTATGGGCATCAAGGTACATTATAATTAGTATCATGTCTATTTTATTTTATGAACTTTCTTGTAGTTTGACAATTTTTTAAATTTTCTTATTTTTAGCATGTGATGATTCTGAAGAGGAGGACATTGCAATAGATGTGGAGAAAATTGCCGCTACAATCTTTACTTAGAATTGTGGATGTAGAGCAAGGAGGCAGAGGCCCGAGCTAATAGGAATTTATAAATATGGATTGTTGAGTTATAATGAGATATAAGTTTCGATACTTTCTGATATTTTGCTATAGAATTTGGAGATGAATGGTATCTCCAGAACTCTCATCCATTTGTAAAAACTGTCCTCTTTCTCTCGGTGGCTTCTTTTCTTGGTTTTAATTAGATTTATTTTGCTTTGGTTTGAGGTAATTGTGAGCTGCGATGATATCTGGGAGATACTTAGTGTATAGACATAGAATTTGGTGATATCATGTGCATGGATAAAAATACTATACTAAGGTCTTAAATGCTAAGATGTCATGTTGGTGTACAAGTTGTAATTTTCTTGTTAATTTATAATTTATAATCAAACGACAAAGGGACTAAAATTTATCACATTGTTTGATAACCAATTCAAAATTGAGCCGGTTAAGACCTAAGATTTATTAAGCCAACTGGAAACAAATTTTAATGGTTTTGAGGTAAGTAAACAATGCAGTGGGCTTTCAGTTCATGGGCTGAGCCCCTTTTTTGGGGGGGAGGGGGGAGATTAAACTTTTTCCTCTCATTTTCATATAGTTGATAACATTGTAAATATTCGGGTCAATTTGGGGCACATCTTGACTCAGCCCATCTTGACCCAACTAAATTTTGGGTTGGGTTGCGCATTGACCCAATTATTAGTGCCGCCCATCTTGATCAACCCAAACTCAGCCCAAACAACCCGCCACCCCTAATTGAGATATTCAAAAATATTTCCTGTAACGCTTCATAGATAAAACCCGAATGTTCTTTTTGTAATCAGTAAAAATGTTAGCTAGTAGATTATTTTCTATCCATGAGAAGGATAATAATGCTTTATATATGTGGTAGGTAAAGTTAGTAACTCCAGATTTCAATAGTCAATGATGAATGAATTTATATTTTACGTTAAGGTCTTAGTGACTATATTTTAGTAACTCCAGATTTCAATAGTCAATTGATCGACGGAGACCTTAACGTAAAATATTCACTAAGTAACGGATAATAGTTTGTTTGTGGTGTTAATCAATTACATCAGCTACTTTAACTTGAATACTCGATGCCTCGATCTATATTTAACCTAATATTTTTCATCATTTTTCCTTTTCCAATTTGATAGTATGTAGCAGCTACATTAGGTTTATTCTTCTAGTAACTGGTATGCTTTTGGATTACGTAACTAATTTACTGTGTTGCATTAATTTGAAATTGAAATCTTCTTTACATGCAATAACTTAACAGTAAGTAATGGACTAGAGCAAGAGAAGTGATAAAGCTTAAAACATATACTCCCTCCGTTTCAATTTACGTGAACCCATTTGACTGGGCACAGAGTTTAAAAAAAAATAAGATTTTTAAACTTGTGGTGTAAATGAGACACATATATTTTGTGTGGCGATAAATCATTGAATAAAGTCAAATGGTTTCCAAATAAGGAAAGTGGTCATTCTTTTTGGCACGGACTAAAAAAGAAATAGGTTCACATAAATTGAAACGGAGGGAGTACAATGCAAATAGGGGCGGACATTTGTGATACGAGTTCATTTGAACCCATAACTTTCGACACGAAATACAAATATGTATGTGAAAACCTACTAAAATATCAATAAATATTAAATTTGAACCCAAAACTTTAACCGTATAATTAATTATGTACAAAATTAAAGTGAACCCATTAAATTTTAATCCCGCATTTTTCCCGAATGCAAAAGGCCATTGATAATGATATTTACGAGGCGACAATTATAAATGGGCAGCCGTCTAAAGACATATGAGGACAAATCAGACTTTTCGAAATTGCCATAATGTTATGTGGTTTTGATGAATGATATTCTATGTTTGAGCACAGAGATGGTGAGATGAAGGATCGTGCACGAAAAGAGAAAGTGGTACGAATGCGGAAGCAAAATAACAAGAACACAAATAAAAGGGTAAAAAGTTAAAGATTTAGTAGAACAAAAATTGAAATAACATTTGAAATAAAAAAATACTCAATTAATTTAGGACTTAATTGACCAAAAACTATAGGAACAATCCTAAAGGGGAAGCAATCCTCTTACAAGTTCACCTTAACAAGTATTCAACAAACATATGATTTATCCTCAACACTCTCAATGAGTTTTGTCACTTAATTGAAAAAACCCTTTAATCAACAACACAACAACATATATTTAGTGGAGGTGAAAAATGAGTATGACATCTCTGGCGACTCTGTTGGAAAACTAACTTGAATTCGAGCTTGTTCATTGATTTTATTAATTTTTGTATATATAGTGATTTATTTGGGCCTAATGTGCTACTTCTACTTTTTACCGCTTTGATATTGTTGAATTGTACATATAAACTTTCTTTTTACGCAGCATCTGTCTTGTGTTTAGGTTTTGGGAGTTTGACGGGTCAGTTTGGGCACCTAAACGGGTT